CCCAAGTAAAAGAGGTATTTGGTTCGATTTATAATTAAATCTTGGTTATGACTAGGTGTGTAAATAGGTAATTTGTTTGTGTGTATATATTGTTAAAATACACTTGTATATTTACGTTAGAAAAATGATTTAGGTATTTTAGGAATAAATTGTCTGACCTCTTCTATAAATACCCATCCACCTTACCTAGGTTATCATCCCAAGAAATACAGAGCACAGAGTGCAATAGAACCTATAGAGTGTCTTGTATTCTCTTCTCAATTGGTGTTAATAAAGAGTGCGAGTGTTTTCTATGTAGAGTTGTGTTGAACATATATATATTTATTGCGATCTGAAAGTCAAGCTGTTGTGTACAGGGTGTGATTGGTGAAGCTTTTTGGGCCTCAAAAGTCTCACATCAACACCGTCCTGCGATAGAGCAGCATAAGCAACACCAGTCCATGGGAGCTTCAGCAGGTAAGTTTAAGTTTTTTAAGAGTTCCTATTCCAAATCAACACCATAGCTCTTAATGTTCTTTGTTTTGATGGTTCCTCAACTTAAATGACTTTATCTTTCATGCTGTTGCACAGTTCCAAATGGAGCTCCAAATTCAGAAGATTGGCACGATCTTGCATTTGCTGAGGTATTTTTTTATTATATCAATTCATGGAAGCTTTCTGGATGTCAGGATGTGAGCTTTTTATGTCAATTTGAACGAAGTGCTATGCCGTTTTTGTTGTTCTTGCAGATGGAGCAGCTCAAGAAGTTATGCGTGCCTTTTTTCAAGAAGATATGTCAACAGTATATGCAGGTACTAAACAGATTTCAAATAAAGACAGATATTAATTGATCTTCATCAGACTTTCATCCTTATTTGATCCACTTTTTGTGCTACCCTCCGTGTATTCTGTTCATATTTCTTGACGGATCTTACTTCTTGTAGGCAGCACAACCAGGGAAAGTCCAGCACCACCTGGTTTTACTACAAAAAATGATACTATTTTTGCAATTACCAAGGGATAGAATCATCTTAACTCACACCAAAGAGGAGTTTTATGGATGTTTGCTAACAATTGTGAAAACTCTGAAATTATTTGAGAATTGTCATATGAATCTTGCTAATAAGCAGCATTCCCTACATGGGCAGCCCGGCCTTGGTGGATCTTGCATAAACCCAGTTCAGCAAGGTGATAATGTGAAACTCCATTTTCAACCAGTGAACTGGGCTGCAAATGTCTCTCCTGGTAGTTCTTCATCAATAGCGCCACCACGACAAAAAGGTTCAGTAAGGTCAGAAGCAGATTGGATTCAGGATAATCTGTCGCAGAATAGCCAACATTCTGTAAACATCAAGCCAGAAATTGAACTCCAGTCTCATAACATCAGAAGCTCTAGCGCAACTACCTCTCCGCTCCCAGAACCTGCTAATCTCGGAAGCAATAGGCAATTATCAACAGCAACAGAGCCTCAAAGTCGCTTACTTAAAGCAGTAAGTCTACGTTATGTATAAGAATAGCATTTGTTAGGAATCACGACTCTTCACAATGGTATGATATTGTTCACTTTGAGTATAAGCTCTCATGGCAATGGAAATGTATTCCTTACTTATAAACTCATGATCATTCTCTAAATTAGCGAACGTGGGGCTCCCTCCCAACCATCCTCAACAGTATTTGCATGATCTAATGGATTAGCATAGGATGAGCTTTTTTTTCTTCTTTTTTCCCTTATGCTCTTCCTCTTAGCTGATTATAAGATAGTACAAATTTTGCAGGTTGAGTCTATGTCAAATGAAGCATTGAGAGAGGCAGTATTGGAAATAAGTTCAGTTGTAAATATGAACGACTTTATAACAGAACCATGGTGTCACTCAAAGGCCACTCATTTAATGTTGCATGATGGACGTGGTTCCTCAAATAGTATGAAGCGCAAAATAAATGCAATGGCCTTAAACGACATGCCATCGCCTTGCAGTGATACTGCTCAGTCTGCACCAACAGTATCAAAAAGAAATAAGCTCAAGAAACTGGTATACATCATATCTATATAGTCTGATTGAAACTGATATTTCTGCCTAGTTATTAATTTTCCTTTTTTGTGTTCTTAAAATTTTGCAGTCCGATTATGCCTTATTAGAAGAAATGAGAAACATAAACAAGCAGTTCATCGAAACAGTCTTGGAATTAGATTTGGACGAAAATCTCAATGCACGATTAGCCAATGCAGGCACTGTTCTTCGATGCTCATATCGTGCCGTAACTGATAGTAAAAATTCAGAAGCTCACCCTGTTAAGCTGCCAGTGCTTTCTGTGAAGCTACTTGTGCCTCTTGATTATCCAGAGGACTACCCTGTATTTCTGAGCAAGTTTAACACAGACTGCGGGTAAGACTGATAAAGGCATAATGAGTTTAAATGACACGTTTTCTTGTACCTATTCCTTACTTTCTTGCATATGGTTATAGCAATGTGGACGAACAATTTAGAGAGCTGTCGAACGAAGCAACGTCGAGGCTACGCGCATTCCTTCGCACTGTCCCGGAATGCTTGTCTCTTGAAGAATATGCAAGGGCGTGGAATGAATGTGCGCGCTCTGTGGTATCTGAGTATGCTCAACGTGCTGGTGGGGGATGCTTCAGTGCTCGATATGGGACTTGGGAGGACATCAGCACAAACTAACCTCTTATACTCTAAATAGTTCATTTGTATTATAAAATTTCTTCATTTTTTTTTGGTTAATATCACTAATCCTTATTGGAAAATTGGGTCACAACGAAAAATTCCTTAAGGATATTCATATTTAAGTATTCACAAGTTATTAATATTCGATTTTTTTTTAAATATCTATATTATTTTGGAGTTCAAATAATAATTACTTTTTAATTTGAATGTATATTAATAATTTTAATTATACATACACAAACATTTATATATATATATATAATATATATATATTTTTATTTTTTATTATTTATTATTTTTATTATTATTATTATTAAAATGGAACTTCAAAATCTTTTTTAGTACAATTAATGGGTATAAAAATTTGAATTTTTCACTTCCAAAAAAAAAAAATTAAATGATAATTTCACTCCACTTTTTAAAGTTTAAGGGGATGATTGAAAGATTCTAAACCAAATTTGAAGAGGCAGAGGGAAGGAGAAGAAAATAAAAGAAAAAAAGAGGCGGCGGCGGCGGCGACGGTGGTGTCAGCCATAGATAGAGGACGGAGCAGGTTCGGAGGAAGGAGAATATAGGGAAAGAGGGAGAAATTGTTTTAATCCTTGAGCAGATTAACCAAACTCCATAGCCACTTTGCACCTCTGCATCGGCCACCGCTGCCCTCCACGGCCCGAAAATGCCGCCGGTCTTTGATCCATGGGAATAAATTTGTAACACAATTTCAACTATTCTAAATTTGAGATCCAACTTTTTAATCTTTTTCTTTCAAATCTGCAATGATTTGATTTGCAATATTAGAAAACAGTGATTGCTTACATGATCGCTAACCTCAAACATAGTTCATCGCAAGAACCCTAACAAAGAATCCTCAAATTTCGTTCTTCAACTGGATGATGATAGCAAATGCCTTCCAATCTCATACGACACAAACGCATCAAAACAAGCATACTTAATCTGATTATGAGTAAGCCATTCTTGATCCCACCTACTCATCGTCACGCCCCTCGGCTTTCGGATCTCTTTCCCCAAAATCTCTTTCGCCAGACTCTTCAATCCCGCATTCTTCAATTCTCTTCTTCCCGTTACCCTCTCAGCCAAATTCCTCAGATCGACCGTCTTCCTCACTTTCAATCCGTAGTCACAGTTCAGTTTTTCAGCGTCATCCTCGATTCCGACTCCTACAAAACTGATGGATTCGTTTTCCAGAAACTCATACAGAGATATAGGGAATTCAGGTGTGTAAATCAGTTGCATAATCAGGCATCGGCTGCCGGTGCAGAGTTGTAACGTGGCCACGGGGTTCTCGTAGGAGCGACTGTTAGGGCGCCACTCGATGTCGAGGCCGACGACGAGAGGTGAAGTTTGAGTGTTGAGGGTTTCTGCAATCCAATCCTCTACCATGAATGGTGAAGTGGTGAGCAAAGTGAGAATCGGCTGATCGGAGTCGAAAGTAACGTCGAAGTAATTGTGGGAACCGGAGGGATCTTCACGTTCAACGATGGTGAGCGCCATGGCAGTCAGGAAAGAACGTCAACGAGAACAACAAGTAGGTCAAGAAAGTCCTCGACTCACGAGAGAGCTTTATATAGAAATTCCCTAATATTTCTTTGACCAAAATACCCTTCAAATTTTCAAAAACTATTCCCTCCTCTTTTTCCATTTACCGAATCATGAAACATTTAAATTCTTACCAATTTTTTTTAAAAAATATTATTATTATTTATTTGGATTTTTAAAAACTATATTTAAAAACAAACTCGTAATATTTATAAGTTTAATTTACAAAAACGAAAAATATTAGAAAAATATCAAATAATTATCCAAAAAATAATTTACAGATGAGCCAGACGATATAAAACGTGATGAACGTTGACAAAAAAATATTTACGGGATGAACATTGCCAAAGAATCAAAGAAACAGACGATATAAGACGAGATGAACGTTGACACAAAAATCATTTACAAAATGAAAGTTGCTAAGGATCAAATAGGTGAGACTGGATGAATGTTGGCAAAAAAAAATCATTTACAGGATGAACATTGCGAAAGGATCAAAGAAACAGACGACATGAGACAAGATGAACATTGACAAAAAAAATCATTTTACAAGATCATCATTGTCAAGGGAACAAAGAAACCAACGACATGAGACAAGATGAACGTTAATAAAAAAAAAAAAATCCTCTATAGGATGAATGTTGACAAAAAAAATCATTTATAGGTACAGGATTATCAATTATCATTGTCAAAGGATAAAAAGGATGAACGTTGACAAAAAAATCATTTACTGAATGAACGTTACCAAAGGATCAAAGAGACAGACGACATGAGACGGTGATATTAAAATTAAAAAAAAAGACAGGTGCTAATATAGTAGTTGGCTTAAATGAGGGTTTTTGTGGGGTGAAAAATTGTAATTGGTTGATTAAGAAGTTGAGAACAAGATCCATTTGCTGTTTCTTCTCTACTTTACATTTTCTGCAGAAGAAAAACAACACAAGGCCTGCCACCTCTGTGACTTTGACCTGGAAAACTGCATCTCCTAACTTGCTTCATCTCATATTTACATTAATATCAACTCTAGCAGGAGCACGCCTTTGCGTCGGTCTCGCTATCGCTATCACAACTCTGATATCAATTACGAGTCCTGTTGTTACCCAGAAGTACGCATGTAGGTTCTATCTCCTTGGTTATACATGCCATACAACAAGAAACAGTGCGAGTGTCCATCGAATTGTATGAACACGAACACCTACAGAAACTGCAAATCAACATGTCGGATTACAACACGATCAGTCTGGCTTATAAACTTCATTTTCAAAAACTAAAAACTCCCTAACCAGTCTGGCTTCTTCGCCTATCTGAATCCGTTAAAAACGGATGCAGAAATTCCCCTAGTAGGTCCTAATCTGAATCCGTTCCGTTACACGTTGGTATATTCGAACCATTACTAATAGTTTATTGATGAAGCTATGAAACAATGTGAGAATGAAGGATGGCATACTCACAAGAAAATTGTGGTGGCAAGACTGAAGGGGCACTTCTGTCGCCTTTTTCTGGAGGCTGTACATTAGATAGAGCTACCCCTGGCAGTGGACTTGAAGCAGATATAGAAACCGTGACCGGTGCTGGCAGACCTACTCGCAAGTATGGCGACGATGGAGGACTGCTTGGAGACGGAATAGAGCCTAAATGAGATCGTTTTCTGACTTTTGTTGACAACCCTTTATATCCATATCGAAAACCAGGTGGAGTTGCTTCGTAGTTACGTTTCTTTGAGGCTGGACTTTCCACTGGGGATGAACCAGCTTCAGGAGCGGATGAGATCCCATTCTTCGGTGCATGTTTGTGCTCCTCTGTTCCAGGACTCGGTGAATATGCAGCGGATGAGATCCCATTCTTCGGTGCATGTTTGTGCTCCTCTGTTCCAGGACTCGGTGAATATGCAGCGTCCTGGTGGTGGTGTTGGTGGTGGTGGTGGTGGTGATGGTGGTGATGGTGATGGTGATGGTGATGGTGATGGTGGTGTTGATGGTGGTGTTGATGGTGGTGGTGGTGGTGGTGGTGGTGATGATGGGGGTGGTGGGGGTGAGAATGAGGCAGAGGAGCAGGTGAAGGTGACCGTGCTTGACCGCCACTAAGAGAGTGGTTTAGAACCGACGAAAGACGCACCTGCTTGACCTTGCCAAAAACAGTGTTGTTCAGGCCAAGATTTCCTGAATGAGAATTCGTGATGGTTTGAGCCAACTGTTTGAGTCTTTGATTCGATGAATTCGTCCCAATAGCCATCAGAACAGACGACTGAACAATAGTAGGAGCCTGCATTGTCGAACCTCGTTCGTTCGATAGGCTAACATATAAATTCTGCATCATACAAAACGCTGTCAGTGAAATCTATACAGCTAAAAACAATATCCATCAGAAAATAGTAAGGAAAACAGCCAAACCTCATAACGAGATAGACGTAATCCCGACCTCAGCTGGCTGGTAAGATCATTGAAATTCACTTGAATTTGATATATAGAATAATTCAACGTAAAATTGAAATAGATCTGTGCTGTCTGCAGAAGAAATGCACTCTGAGGAGGAATAATAGTTATCCCACCAGGAAATTTCAACACCTCGAACAACGAAGTATTGCCGAATAACGATGCGTTCAATCTGAGAGGAGGATCGTTTATAACCAATGTTTCAAACGTTTCCTTGATTAAACTTTGAGAAGTTGGGGGAATTTTTGAATACTTGGCATCAGGATCTACAGAGAAAATGATATCTGTTACGTTCGATCCGCCTAATGATTGTAGCGAGAGGACAGCCACCTGATTCACAGAGAGTATCAGATCAAACGACCGAAAACGTGACTAATCAAGCTAGATGAATCAAGAAACTGGATTGAATACCTTGACAAAAGGAACAGGAATTTCTCCAAAAATGTTATCTTCAAGCTCAAAAATATGGTTTTTCAGAAAAGGAACTGGCTTCCGAGCACGAAAACACGCTACTATTTCATGATCTGGAAATGGGATAGAATCATATAACTTCAGCGAAACGATTATATAATATACGAAAGGGATGGCTAGCATGATATGATAGCGTTACTATAATTCAACCAAGACGAACTGATATCGATAAAATCCAATAAAATTTCACAATGTCTAACACAAAGTTCACCACAATCAAACAAATCTAGACACACCCAACAAGCAGATGGAGTACTCATTGAGTTTATGAGATATCACCCAACTTCTAAACCCATCTGATTACGACGCAATTAATTTCAGTCAAGTTATACGATCATATTGTTTATATGTATTGCTCTTTCAAATTCCAATGTACAAAAGTAGAGACTGACATCACTTATGCAAATAGATGAGAGCGATCTGTTTAAAACCAGAGCACTATGAGCTTTTAGGCAGTACATTTCATGCATCAATGGGCGTAAACATGTCGAGTTTGTATACCGAGAGAGAAAAAAAACGAACAATCAAGCTCATAAAGTCTTTGGATAGCCAAAAGAGTTCTTCAATATAACACAAATCTTATTAACATTATTGGAATGGAAAATTTTAATGCATATGAACAGCAACTTGATGAACAGCATTCACATGAATCCAGGGAAACGAAATGTATACATGGAAAAGTGAGTCAGTTTTCATCATAAACTTCTCATTTAATCGATCAAATCTTCCACAATCAATCAAAAGTGAGTTTCCTAAATCGCAATCCTATCGAATCCAACAAAACAAGACTATAATTCTTCCACAAGGAGCTATCTAAACACAAGAACAGCTACAAACATACAAAAATCCATAACATTCTACTCTTCAAAACAATCAAAGTTGATATCACCAGCCAACAAAAAGGGGATGATAATCTGATATCACCAGCCAACACCCATCAACATGATTCTAGGTCTACAAACACTTAAAACCCAAAGCCTGAAAAGGAAAATCATGAAAGAAATAGAAAATTGACGAAGGATCCGACCTCTATAAGTAGAATCAGCCGCCTGATCCGGCCAATCTCCGTATGAAAGGAACGGCGGCAGCCAAAAAATAGCAGAAAGAAACACAGCCGCCGACAGTAACAGGAAGAAGACACATCTCACAGCAATCAGTCTACGAATCGCAAAGCACCCGCCGCCGCCACATCTACTCTGTACAGTCCAATCAGAAAGCTCGGAGGAGCTCACTCCAACCGGCAGCGGCTGTTCTTCCTCGCTCTTTCCCATGGAGGCAATGCATGAGAAGTGGGTTAACAACCGCCATTGCCACCTCCCTCAATCAGGCCCGAATTATCTTCCCCCATTACAGCTCAAACTCAAACCAAATCGATCCCAGAACCACAAAAGCTCAAAATCCCACCTCGTGGAACTTCTCCACCGCAAACCCAGAACCCAAATTCAAAAAGAAAATCTAGGGTTCGAGAGAGAGAGAGAGAGAGAGAGAGAGAAATTGGGGGCAATTCGGTCTGATTTAACTGGCGCAACAACCACAAATGACAGCCACAGTCTCCGAAGTAAATGTGGATATAGAGAGGGGCGTTTATTTATCATCCATCAACCATCCATCTATCCGTTTTCTTCACCAAAATTTATAAATCGACAGGGAAAATGGAAGAAGATGACAAGACAGTAGAAGGGGAAAAGGTAAGAAATGGAAGAAGAAGCGCCAAAAACAGAGAAATGTGGGAACAATGAAATTGAAAAAGGGAATTGATGGCACTAATTGCGCACTTAAATGAAGAGCCGTGGAAGATGGGTTATGCCCATTTCATCACTTCCACTTCCACTTCCGATCCTAATTGAAAGTATAATAATAACAAAATCAGTGAGGGATTCATTTCAGTGTGTTCACCAAGAAACCGAGCCCACATCGACCCTTCCACAATAATCATTGTTTTTTCCATTACAATTTTTTTCTGGGTAATTTTAATTTCTCTCTTTTATCCGTTTTGTATTGCACACGTGTGATCTTCTCGGCAAAGTTATCTTATTTTTATTTTTATTGTTTCCTTATTTGTTATTGATTTTTTTTTTTTTTTTTTTAAACAAAATTTATATTTACCATTTTAAAAATTATAACTTGGCCTTCTAAGGTCGGGAATACAGCACATCACCGAGACTACTGAAACTAATCCAAAATTAATTAGTATTATTTAAACCCCAATTTAATTATTAAGCATAATTATTAGTAATATTAGTAACTAATTAATTGTAGGGTTTTTTTTTTAATCTTATACTTTCAAGTCTGAAGTACGAGCGACGTTACAGCCTCCGCCATTTCAATTCCTCGTGCTCTGGTTTCCATTGTTGGAGGGCTTCTGAGCTCTTCACCACTACTAATATCATCTCACCATGTGGGCTCTTCGTAGAGCTTCTACTCCCCTTAGGTATGTTCTCTGTTTGCCATATCAGATTTCTCTGTTTATGTAGCGTACATAGTTCATTCGGTAATGCGAAACAAAGAAAACTAATTTGAATCTCGTTTTTGCGGTAGAATTTTGGATTCATTTCATGCGTATTGGGTTGTATTGATTGTATGCATCAACAAGGTTCTTGCTTGCTTCTGATCGAGTTTTCGGTGCTCATATTTGTTCCGTTCTTGTAGTTCCCTGTTTTTTTCCGTATATTAGCTGAAATGCGAAGCTTCTCTTGGTTGGAGGTTGTTTTCTAACCTCTTTCTTTAAAACTATTTTTCTCAACTTTTAAAATTTATGGGTTTGATATCCTGTTTTCATAATTGATGACGTTATGTGCATTTTTTGGACGTTTGAGTCTCAAAGATGATGGTTGGGATATCATTGATGGAGATTTTCTTTTGTCTCTTACGGATAAGTTTTGGAGATGGTCCGAGTGATGAAATTAGAATCAGTGAAGAACGTAGAAATCTATATAATATTGAGAAGAACAGAAGAAATCTATATAATTTGAAATCCATTATTATCCATCATCCAAAGAACTGTTTTTGGATAATGCCTCCAACATTTCAGATCAGCCTCTTTACAACCTTTTTGTGTTCTCTTTCCAGGAATCAAGGGTATAGAGTAAGAACTTCATATGTCTTTGGAAATCTAGAGGTACCATATGATTGGGAAGGAAATATAGTTGGTCCTGGTACCACCGCTGCTATATCTGATAGATGCATTTATTTTGAGAGAATTAGCCTTGCAACACTGCAGTCCTCCGGACTTTATATTAGTAGTCATGGTCTATCTTCACAAGCTGGTGCTGAGAACAGTGAAAAGGAAGATGACTTGGAAGATGGATTTTCTGAACTTGAAGATAACAAGACAGCTGATGAAAATGAAGAGGATCGAACCTCTGGATCGGAGATTGATGATGATGATGTTGATGATGGGACTCAAGATGCTGAAAATATATCTACAAAAAGGGCTCCTTCAGAGCTTTTCAAGGAAATTTCGAGTGCTCCAGGTTTATCTGTTCCTAGTGCACTTGATAAGTGGGTCAGTGAAGGAAAAGAACTAAGCCGAGCTGACATCTCTCTGGCCATGCTCAATCTTCGCAGACGTCGAATGTTTGGGAAGGCTTTGCAGGTAAATTGACTTTATGTTACTTTTCAAGCAATGAAATTCATTCGTGTGGTTTGAGGTTTATAATTAATCTCATTTATCTTGGGATTTGCAGAACTCTATATAAGTTCATGTGATTAGTGGACACAACGAATTTCAGGATGCAAATGTTGATCAATTTTTAAAAAGTTCAACAATCAACTCTAACATGGTCTGTCAAGCACATAATAATTTCAAGATATGTTGGTTAGTTGATCAATATAAACTTAGGCTTGTAATCAGTAAACCTGAGTATGCAGATCAATTCTTTAGAAATACCATTATCAAATGCTTGTATAAAAAATTGTCGAGCTGGCCTATAGCATTCAAGAAATGGTGCTAGGAACTGCAGTCTAGTATATTTGGATTGGCATTTATATATTGTGGCCTTATAATGTCATTTCTGGTATGAAAATGGTTATACAATTTATTATGCTGAAGAACTTTCTAGCTATTGTATATGGTAAATATTTTCCCCTATTTGTTAGACATTCATTCATCCTTTCTTGAACTCTTTGCTGGCTTTATGCATGGGTTTCACAGTTTTCAGAGTGGTTGGAAGCAAAGGGACAACTCAATTTTATTGACAGAGATTATGCTTCTCGCCTCGACTTGATTGCAAAGGTACGGGGTCTCTATAAGGCCGAGAGTTGCATCGCTCAAATTCCGAAGTCTTTCCAGGGAGAGGTGATATACCGAACTCTTTTGGCTAACTGTGTGATTGCCAACAACGTAAAAAAAGCGGAGGAAGTGTTTAACAAAATGAAGGACCTTGAATTCCCAATCACAACATTTGCTTGCAACCAGTTGCTTCTTCTTTACAAGAGGCTTGACAAGAGGAAAATAGCAGACGTTTTGTTGTTGATGGGGAAAGAAAATGTCAAGCCTTCTCTGTTCACTTACAAAATCTTAATAGATGCTAAAGGCGTTTCAAATGACATGATAGGGTTGGAAACAAGTTGTTGATACAATGAAGGCCGAAGGAATTGAACTTGATGTTACTGCGCTTTCCATATTAGCAAAGCACTATGCTTCATGTGGGCTTAAAGACAAAGCCAAGGCCATTTTAAAGGAGATGGAAGATGTTAACTCCAAAGATTCTCGATGGCATTGCAGAATTTCACTTCCCCTTTATGGAGAACTGCAAATGGAAGATGAAGTGAGGAGGCTCTGGAAGATCTGTGAGTCGAATTCTCGTATCGAAGAATGCATGGCTGCCATTGTTGCATGGGGAAAGCTGAAGAACGTCACAGAAGCAGAGGAAATTTTTCATATGGTTTTAAAAACATGGAAGAAGCTTTCCTCAAAACAATATTTTACCATGTTGAAGGTTTATACACACAATAAGATGCTGACAAAGGGCAAGGAACTAGTCAAGCAGATGGCAGACAGCGGTTGCCGCGTCGATCCGTTGGCATGGGATGCAGTTGTGAAGCTCTATGTGGAAGCTGGGGAGGTAGAAAAGGCAGACTCATTTTTGCAGAAGGTTGTTCGGAAAAAACCAGATCAAGCCACTGTTTACCTCATACATGATTATCATGGATCAGTATGCAAGTCGGGGTGACGTCCACAATGCAGAGAAAATCTTTCATAGGATGAGACTATCGGGTTACGTGGCTCGATTTAGCCAATTTCAAGCTCTAATACGGGCATACGTTAATGCCAAGGCTCCAGCATATGGTATGAAAGAGAGAATGAAGGCAGATAATGTCTTTCCAAACAAAGATTTGGCAGGAAAACTAGCCCAAATTGATGCTTTCAGGAGGACAGCAGTGTCAGATTTGCTTGACTGAGGTATTTAACCTGATACTTTTGTAAGTTATAAACTCCCTAGATTTCAACTTTATTTTACAAATCAAGTATTTGTTTGCTAATCTGGTGGCTGCGCTTTGATATATGTAGGTATACTGATAGGACAAAGAAATTTTGATATCGGATCATGCTGCACGTGCTCATATATTTCGATCATCAGAAGAACTGATTATGCAGAAACTCAAGATGGTATACTATTTTACATGTCTCCCACGTTCGATATGCAATCTGAGTTCTGTTTCATTTTTTGGATTCAATAAATGTCTGTTGAACTGTTTTTGGAATGGAGCATCTAAATAGTGGATAGTTTAGAAATGATATTCTTATCTTTTCAGTATATTCCTGTTTTACTTTTGGATGGGGCTTCCGGGACGTTCTTTAGCCTTCCTTGAATATGATATACAAATTAAAGTTGGGAGGATTTTGAAATAACTACGCAGAGAATGCTGTCTTGTTACTTAATGAAATGAAGAAATAGATCATGACATGCTTACTATTCTATGTCTTGGGAGGAAAATAATAAATGAAAAAAAGAATGTATCCTTCCAACTTAGACGTTTTAGATCAATAGAACATATAAAAAGGCACTGAAATTTCATATGAATATGATCTACTGATGTCGTAAGCTGATGTAATATAAATCTAAATTACAGATACAAGCTATTTTGCCTTTTGAGTTCTATGCAACATCACCTAACTACATGAAGAGATTATTGTAATAAGCATACAGCACCACCAACTGATACTAACATCTGCAAATGAGAAAGCTATATATATATATCAATCACAAACTAAACCTAATACCATTACTCATGTTGATCCATTGTACAGTTCCTATGACAGAAGCAGCTCCATCCAATGAAGAAATGCAATTGGCACGGTAGCACTCGAGGCACTTGTTCATAAATTTGATTTCAGTTTGCAGATTAAGTAGAGAGACTTGCTTGCCCCTCACTCTCGAGGCCGTGCAAGCCAGAGAGAGCTGAGGGCTCTTAAGCGGGAGAAGTAGTCATTTATTGCAAGAAGCGCACGAGCTGATTGACGGGTTGTCAATATGCGATGCATTTGTTGAAGAGTTTGTTGACGAAGATTATCAGCCTGCAAGTTCCAACAAGAGGAAGAAAATGGAAAGTGAGCATGGATTCATTTTTCAACTTTACTTGTGTGTTGTTGCAGATTTGAGGAAACGTAACATGAAAGAAATAGGCAATGTAAATGAAACAAGATGCAGCTGAAATGTTATGAATTAAAAGTACTTCCTTTGAAGAGTTGAAACCTGAGATTTTTATTTTATTTGAAATAATTACTTCCATTTGCAAGTGATCTCCTGTATTGAATTACAGGTTTTTCAATAATAACAATTCCATCTCGAATAAAGTGGCATACCTGGCGTAGGAAGCCTTCAAGAGTTCC